AGCAATGTTCGGTGACGCCATGTTAATCTACTGAGGGATTTGGCTTGGAACGACCTTCCTGGGTGCTGTACCTAACAGCTTAATTACCTTTTCAAAAGGAAATACCTCTGAGAGTTAGCAGCCACTCTCACAGCAAATATGCTGCTCCGTCAAGAGGAGGTGATATGAGGTTACACTTCACTGGGCTGAGTCATATTGACCTACCTGTCCTCTACACACACACATACACAACAGACGCACACACCTGTCCGACACTTTGCCCTTGATTTTGGCACCTTCACTATACACATACCTTTTTTCTCAGTATGTGAAGCTGGAGGTACAGACTTAAATTACACTCCATCACTGTGTATCTTCTTTTTCAGCTACCCACAAGACACATATCTTGCTTTTGTCTTTCCATTCTGCCTCCCACCATCCACCCTCCATCATTAGTTGTGTTCTCAACACTCCCTCGGCTGGAAGTGAAAAAATGTCACCAGCAAGGGCAGCGAGAGATAATGCAACACCAGATAGTGACAAATAGGACAGTGGAGATAGTGCGGTTGTCGAGTCAGATCAAATTCAAGCTGAGACAGACAAGTAAAGGTGACTGATAACACCTTTTTTTTAATGGTAAGGGTGGTAATCACCCCAGATCATAAAGATCTGAAGGGCTTTAACACAGATAGATGATAGTGCACGTGCATGGTCTTAAAGCTTTGCGTCCCTAAAAGCAAGCAGTAGAGGGATATGGTGCAATGTCATTTCAAAAGCGATGTCAGTTGAAAGGTATGGATATTTAATCATCTTTGCCTGATCTTAAATTCTCTGCAGTATCCTGTCCCAGGAGGGAGAGCCTACCAAGTCCATTAAACCACAGAATGAGCAGTTTGTCTTCATTTGTACGTAACGGAAGTGGTGAGGCCTGGCAATGTGGCAAAGGTGGGATTTCAGTGGAAGAGGGAAGTCATGATCCTGTTAAAAGTGATGTCTGTAAAGTGAAAGGTCTGCTACATCTTATACCTTGAAAGCTTGCTCTTTAACAGCTTGTAAAATTAAGTTGTTCTGTGGTCTATTAATGTGTCTCCCTGCCTTCTTCTGGAGCTCTTTCACCTTTATAAAGTTTGATCGGTTTGCATGAATCTGATGCTAATTTGCAGCTTGGCTCTCCCGCCTCACTTTGTTTTCTGTCTTGCTTGTGCACTTTCTCTTGCCTCTTTTTGTGAGATTGGCAGGTCTTTAGGGTTGTGAGGCACTTAGCTTCCCATGTTTCTTCCTCCTGTCTCCTCCCCCTGACTGGCAGTAATTACATCAGGTTTGGGCCTGGTTTTTCCTGACAACCCCAAAGAGCTGACAACCAGAAAGCTGAAAGAGAGTGAGTGAGAAAAAGAAAGATGGGAAACAAGGAAGATACTGCTTAAGAAGACACAAAAGTGGCAGCATACAGAAATGGGGAAAGCAAGAGTGAAGTGCAAGACAAGAGTGCAGAGGGAGAAAACCGTACACGAAGGGAGAGAAGCAGAAAAGGCTACACATCAGTGATTCCTGACAGGTCTTTCTTCTTCTTTTTCATCTCTACCCCCTTTTGTTAGTCTTCCCATCATGGCTGTGTGAATTCTGTATTCACCACTGCTCACTTCGACCGACGTGTAGGATGAAAAAAAAGTGTCCCCTCCCGACTCGGAGCTGCAGCCAGCTGTTTCCCACCATTTTCAGCTGTCATACAGCAGGTCTCAGCAGGCCTTTATTTAATTCTAATATGGAAATGGAAAGATTGTAATCCTTTGTTAGTTAATGAACTTTCTTTCTTTCTTTCTTTCTTTCTTTCTTTCTTTCTTTCTTTCTTTCTTTCTTTTTCTCTTTCTTTCAAGATGACCAAGTGTCAAAAGTCCCTTAAAGACAGAAAAAATGTAGAAAATTGGTAGACTGATAGATGAACACATCAGAAAGATCAGATTCAGCCCAGTTCAGTTTCTCCCTTCTCTCTTTGGATGAATGAGGAAAAGAATTTAAGAAATCATTCACAGAAGATTGAATTTTTGTTGTTGTTCCCTCAAAGCATGTGCTGATGTTGTTCTCTTGTAAAGAGACTTTCAGATCAATAAGTAATGAATACAACATTTATTATTCCACATTCCACTTTTACTTCTATCATCAACAAGTCTGTCTCCATCTCACTAACGGTTTTTACATAGTCAGATAAAACTTGTGGTTCGAAGTAGAAGTGCTTGTCCCCCACTACTGTCTCCAGTTGAATAGCCATCACCAGTTGTGTCTGTATCTGGAAGTCCCACAAGACCCTAGCTTGGTCATTCTTAACAACCCTATGGGTGTGTGCCATTTTGACCTTTTGTGGACTTGCAGGCCATACTCAGCACAGATGTTCCTGTATACTATGTCAGTTGCTTGATTGTGTTCCATGTATGCCCTGCCTCCTAGCATCTTGCACCTTGCTGTTATGTGCTGGATTGTCTCAGGGACATTTTTATACAGCCTGCACCTGGGGTTGTGTTTGGTGCCTCTATCGAGCTTGTGCTTAGAGCTTATACTTGTGCTGCAGCCACTTCTTCTATCTGCTGGTGGTATGTACAGTGCAGGGACCTGTCTTTCCATAATGGGTCCTGATGCTGCTCCTATTCTTTCTCATTGTATGTACTAAGCATATGATCACTTGTGGCCATCTTTCTAATGTAGTCATGGATGTTCGTTGTCTCATCCTGGATAGTGGATCGGACACACACTAGTCCTCGGCCCCCATCCTTCCACTTAGTTTATAGTTACAGATTGCTGCATTTGTGGTGAAACTCATGATGTAGGTGGCTTCTATCACCTCCTTTGGCCAGCCGATTATCCCAGCAGGGTATCTGATGAGTGGTAGGATGTAGGTATTGATTGCCCAGATCTTATCCTTCCCGTTCAGCTGATTCTTCAGGACTTGCCTTATTCCCTGCAGGTATTTGGTGGTTGCAGCAAAGATGTGGTCTCTTTTCAAGTGCTTCACATTTGTCTGTGGGATTCTCAGGTACTTGTATCTGTCCTTGATGTCTGCAGTGTTGCCTTTTGGTAGTGCATTCCCCTCAGTTCAGACTACTTTCCCTCTCTTAGTTACGATCCAGCTACACTTCTCCAGTCTAAATGGCATTTTGATGTCGTTGATCCTAGTCCTAGAATTTATATCGTTTTTAACTTATAACATACATGATGTTATCCATGTAGAGGAGGTGGTTAATGTTTACTCCATTCTGTATTCGGTATCTGTAGCCAGTCTGGCTGATGATCTGGCTAAGGGTGTTTTTTAGGCCGTTTGCCAAACAGCAGTTGTGACAGAGCATCCTGGTATATCCCGCATTTGATGGTGACTTGTTCAAAAGACCATGTTGATCTTGTATAATTATAGACATTTTAGGATCCATGTGAGCCATTGAGTCATTGGCTTTCTTCTAGTGTATCCAGGCATCAAATTCTCACTCCACCACCCTAATGTTGCAGCAGAAATTGAGAGTCACCTGGCCAGACAACATTATTCCATTGTTATTCAATTTTGGTGAGCGTGTGTGAATTATAGCCTGTTTCCTTTTCTTAGCTGACAGGAATGGACACATACCAGTAGAACATCTGCTTCAGAGTTTGACATATGCATTCTCTGATGCTCTTCTACATACCCTGGTAGTAACAAGTGGTTATTTGAGTTACTGTTGCCTAGCTGTCAGCTCAGTCTGACCATTCTCCCCTGACCTCTGGCATCAACAAGGCATTTTCACTCAGAGAACTGCAGCTCACTGGATATCTTCTCTTTTTATGACCAGTCATTGGAAACTCTTGAGATGGTAAAGATGGGGGGAAATCCCAGTAGATCAGCAGTTTGTTAAATGCTCAGACCAGACCATCTGTTACAATTATATCACGTTAAAAGTCCCTTAAATCACCTTTTCTTCCCCATTCTGACACTGCCTAAATGTACCGAGCTGCAACCATGTTAGTGTCTGATTTGATGTTTGCATTCATGAGAACTTGAATAAGTATACCACAAAATGGAAATTAAACAAATCTCACTCGGCTGGCAAAGAGCCTGCAGTCAAAACTTAAATATTGTTTCATTTTTGTTTGAACCAAAATAATCAAGAATGAGCGTATAAATGATTTACAGGATATCAGTTGTTGCATGTTAACAAGGTTTTTCATTTACCACTAATAAGCAGGTTTCTTATCAATCAGATTTTTTTTTTTTAAATTACCGCAAAATGACTATGTTAACCAGTTAATTGTGATCAATTCTCTTTCTGTTTACACACCCTCTTGACCTTTTTACCCCTCTACTGCCTCCTGCCGCCTAGCCTCTTATTATTTGCATTACATCACATTAAATCAATGCTTAGGTAAACTGAGCAATGACTGCGTGTCTACGCTTTGAAATAAATCCATGGCTACAGATGACTAACCACAGTAAAATAGCTCATTCAACTTGATGTGAACTGTAGAAGATGCCCTTTGGCCTTCACAGAACTATACTCTGACCCCGCACTGACAACTTGTCTGCTTCAGTGTCTCATAGCAAGCATTTAGTCTTGACAGGGAATGGGGGTAAAGATAGAAAAAGAAAAAAAATTAAATATTCATGAAGTAGGATTTAAATAATCAAGGACTAATCTGAAAGAGAGACACAGTTCCAGAAATCATGCGGTGCCTCTGTGAATATGCACTCAGCATAATTGGAGATCACACTGTAGTTGCACTGCTGCCCACCACCATCACCAAAACAGCCATCTGTTTGTAGCTGTACTAGAATCAGAACACACAGCATGTAATCTGGGGTGAATGCTTCCTGTTCAGCTCCTAGAGGATTATCAATCATTTATTTTTGTTAGGTTTGGATGTTCTTGTTTCTCAGTCCATGGACCTTATGAAAACCCCTTTCGTAAAGAAAATACAAAGTGAGTGCTTATCAGTAGCTATTATTTCTCCTCTGCTTGTTTCCTTCTGTTTCATTTGCTGGTTCTTCTTCTTTGCTCTCTTGTCAGCGGCGTCCAGCTTCAGTTTTTGCCGTGCCTCCCTGGAGCACACGGTGTCTGCTGAGGAGCTGAGTTACCAGCTGCCGCGTCACGCCGGAGGCAGCAACCTGACCTGGCACGACGGCCGTGGCCAGAAGACAGCACACACACGCACCGTCAAACTATTGCAGCAGCCCGGCACAGAGGGCATCCAGGTATGAAGATGTCCACACACACAAACCAAAGGCAATGCGGAGGAGTGTTTTCAGTGCATGTGAATAACTCTGAAGTGTTTTTGCTTATATTGTTACTTTTATTTTTCAGAATTAAAAAGGCCAGTGGGCAATTTAGCATCAAGAGGGATCTTAAAAACAAATTTAAGATCCCTCCCCCTCTATGTCAACACACTTTGCAGTACCCTTAGGGTCAGCGCAGTCAGTCAGTTACAGTTTACTCTTGTCAGTTCATTTTAATGACATTTTTATACAGAAATTTAAAGTTTCTCTTTCTTTGGATATAAAATAGCAATTCCTCAGTCACACAGGCCTTGAGACATGTTAGCGACCGGCCGTCACTGTTCACAAAGAAATGCCTGAGTGGTTGCTGTAGGTAACTGGTTGACACTTGTGATTGTTTGCAAAAAGAGTGCTGTACCGAAAACCTTCTTGCGATTGATTTGCTCACAGTTGTATATAGTTTGAATGAAATACTGCAAATACTCCCCATTTTACTGTGACCGAGTGAAGCACGAGAAAAGGCGACACTCTCTGGAAATAGGGAATGTTTGCTTTCAAAGCAAAAGTTGTACCTTACCACTGCAACCAACACATTTCAAGTGAAACCTTTATTTCCAGACTGCGTCAGATTTTTCAGTCATTCATCACTGCTTGATGAGTAGTTTGCTGGTATTTGCACCCAAGTTTATGTCTGCCATGCAAGCTACAGGCGACCCTAGCAACCTGCTAGCAATCAAAGCAATTGCAAGGATGTTTTGATGTAGCACCAAATGCCCCTGTGCACTCAATTTTGCGCCGGCTAACAACTGTAACCACTCGCCAATCTGTCACAGAATACACTTCCATGCAGGTCTCTGAAAGGCTTGCGTGAAGAGGGATTTGACAATCAAATTCACAGCAACTGCCACCAACCACTCAAAACCACCGGTCATGAGGAAAAATGTGTATTCTCCAACCAGTGGTTGCTACATGATCGCTAACCAGCCTCTAGACCTGTGTGATTAAGGCATTTAAACATGAAGCATTCTTACTACTTACTACGCCAACTGTGGTCCATTTTTGCTGTAACTAATGTTACATGTCACTTGCATGGTGTTATATTACATTACATTATAATGAAATGCTTTAGTAAAATTATTTGAAAAAAAAATTTTTTCTTTGAGTATAATTTTGTTGTAATTTGGAAGTAAATAATATGTCACAAAAATGTTTGTAATTTCAAAACAGTGTCTAAGCTCATGCAGAAGAGTGTGGTGCAGCGAACCTATCCACACAACGTATCATACAGCAAGATAAAGGAATGTGCGCAAGCAACGGGGGCTTCACCTAAAGCGCTCTAGTCTAGTGGGAAAGAGGAAGACTAATTGTTTAATTTACATAATGTTGGCTCGCCTCATCTTAGACTGTGGTGGATACCACCAGAGAAAAACTTATATAATTCAGGAGTGGCGTGAGAACTGCCTTCTGATGTAACTATGCTTGTACAGTCCAAGCAAGCACATACTGCACAGGAAATAAACTCCCAGGAGCATGCAATTTATAGTGACCTAAATGTCTCAGATCATGTTTTTTTTTCAGCCCCCCCCCTTTTTTTTTTTTTTTAAGCTCAGCAAAGCTTTAGCGGAACTGACTGGTATAAAAACTACATATTGAAATTGTTTCACTGCTGATTGATGGATACAGAATGTGTGTCTGGCGGCTCTTAGCAGTATCATTTAAGCACAGCAACCGGAGCATCGTTTTCTTTCACACATCACTTTGTGCAAAATGAAATCCCATCTGTCCAGCACCAGAGACAGTCTAAACAAAGAGAGAGAGAAAAAAATCTATTTTAAGGCTTTCTGTCTGTGTTTACGCAAAACCAGCACATGACACAACAGCTCCTGTCCTTTCTCCTACTCCTCAAATGAAAGAGACCAGATAGGCCAGCGGAGGACATTTGCTCTGTCTCACCACTGGTTTGAAGAAAATTTGCAACCTTGAGGCCTTAAGATGTACATGTGCACGACAAAATTTGTTCAATAATTCATAAAACAGTGCCCCCTCAGCTATAACAGCTATAAAAGGCCTAATGAAAGACGAGTGGGAAGCTGTTTCCATGTGATTACACAGACACCGGATAATTAAACC